GATCCATCGTATAAAAAGAAGGAAATCTTGTTTTTACTTGAGCGTTTATCACGAATGAACATTATCAAAACTGAAAAAAAAAATAAACAAACCTTTTTTTCTTTTTGTAAATTTTATGTAGATTTTCTTTATTTCTTATCCTATTTCTTAATGGATCAGCTGTGCATTCTTCTTTCTTTTTTATTTCACGTTTGCTTTAAGTTTTATCAAATAATGTAATAGCATCAAGTTTTTCTTTGATTGTAGATCGGTACCATTTGGATTTCATAGATTTTCCTTGACAACTAACATTCGCAATAGATGTTATGGACAAGCTCTACCTAATGAGAATCATTCAATTCGTCAACATTTGATGAGCTTAAAGGTAATAGCGATAGAGATGGATCGAAGCATTTGAAAGTTATATCATTATCATTGTCTTCTTCGAATTTCAATTGAAGATATGTTAATATACGTACTAATACATTTTCACATTCATTAACGATTGAAGTAATTTTAATACTTGAATCATCATTAGAACTGTCATAATTATCAAAATTTGAATCTTCATTGCTACAAGGAGTGCACGATGTTGTTATTCCATGTCCCATGTAAAAAAAAAATAGAAAAAAAACAGATTTTAATCCATTTTTTTCTGATTAATAATCGATTAAAATCGATTATACGTAAAAAATTTATCAAAATCAACTAAACTCTAGTTGCTCTCAGATTCTTACATGGGCACCTTTCAGTCAATTTTCATCTATTACTGTTTCCTAATGCATTTTACTCTACGCTTACCTGTTTTCTTATTTTAATCTATACTTACTAAATAATCGATTTTAATCTATATTTACTAAATAATCGATTTTAATCATATGCCTCGAAAATAGGCGCTTTTACCGAGATTCGAATGCGAAACCCTAGTTTTCTCATCATTTTTTTTGGCTTCTTCATGGCAAGAAATCCTAAGGCTGTCGCCAAGCTAGTGACTGATATATATATACTAAAATTCGAACTCCTATATAAATTGAATCAATTGAGATTGCGCAATTATATAAATAATCGATTAAAATCCGGAATAATCAATTAAAATCGATTAAAACCCACATAAATCGATTAAAACTCATATAAATCGATTGAAACCCACATAAATCGATTAAAATCTGTTAAACCGCGAGATTAATCGATTAAAATTCATTGCAGTTTCAATCAATAATTTGGATTCCTTAAAAAAGCAGTTAGCGCAATCGCTGTAGAAATAAAATGTGAAACACAACCAAACCCATTCTCATTGACTTCATGCAAACTGAAAATTTCATATATTTTACGACATATTTCTTTGTCACTCTTCGCTTTGGACCAAAGAATTTCAAAAACGAGGGTGGATGTGGGTGGGTGTGGTGTGTGAGTGTGGGGTGTGGGTGTGGGTGGGTGTGGTGTGTGAGTGTGGGGTGTGGATATGGGTGTGGGTGTGGGTGGGTGTGGTGTGTGGGTGTGGGTATGGGTGTGGGTGTGGGTGTGGGTGTGAGGTGTGGATGTTTCTCTAATATACATCCACACCCACACTCACGCGTGCACTCATATGCACACTGGCACCCGCACTTATATCCATAACCCTGCCGTGGGAGTAACTGTCGTTGAGGAGCAAGAGAAGGTTTCAACTCGTCACGTGACGAGTTGAATTTTTCAGAAAAAACAGGGCTTTCGTAACGCTAAAAATAGGGATATACGAGAAAACAGGGATATCGTAACAAAATTTACAGAGCAATCGTAGCTGTTATTTACAGAGAGATTGTAACAGTTGCAGAGTTTTCGCAATGAACCAACAGGCATTTCGTAACAAAAATCAGGGGTTTCGTAACGAAGGCACATATCAAGCCACCGGTTACGATCACCCTGTAAAATTCGTTACGATAGCTCTGATTTTTTGTTACGAAAGCCCTGATTTTGTCGTTACGAAACCTCTGTTACGGGCTTTTGTACTGTCAATTTGTTACGAAAGCCAGACAAGAAAAATCGTGACGAGTTGCAACTTTCCCGGGCGCACTACTTTCTATCCCGGTTGAAGAATTAGGTTTATTTTAATAAAAGAAAAAAAATAAAAGAACACAACTATTTTATTTTTCAGAGAAATATTTCCACTACAAGCTAAGACTATTGCGGCTTCCATATGGTTTTTGTAGCCTGAGAAAATGAATAAAAACTTTGCGACCAAGACCGGGACTAGTCCCGGTTGCGATGTAATCATGTTCTAACTTGAGCACGGACAATCATATTGTAGTCAGAACAGTCTTATTTTGTCAAGAAAATATTTCTTTTCAAAATATGATAACTGAAGGTTCCTCACTTTTACCTCTTCTGAGATACATGACATCCTGCAACCGGGACCAGAATGTCCCGGTACCCATCTATAAATTTAATCCGATAATTTCTTTTTTATAGGAGAGAAGTGAGTTCTGAATTTTTACACCTAAACACAAGGCTTATAAATACTCTTTAAAGGTTATCACTGTTGACTTCAGTAGTAAAGTGTAACATTTTTGGTCTGCCAAAAAATGTATGAAGTAGATTTCCTATATTTAATTTAATTTTTATCGTTATCACGAACTTTAATCCATTCCATCGCGTACTATTGCGTTATTGGCATTTGTTTTGATATTTTCTTAAGAAAAGAATACAACCGTGCTACGTCTAATAGCAATAAGAACCACGAAATCGTTCAATACTTTTATTCCACTAATCATCAAAGTTTTCGTTATGTTACGAAAAAGATTCTTTTTAAAAAGTATTAGTTAATCGTGTCAAAAAAAAAACAAATAAATGGTTAGAGAAAAGAAGTAAGGGATAGTAATGATTTAGGATCCATAGCAACGATACAAATTGAATTAAGTATGGAAAATTTATTGCATACATTTTTTGGCAGGCTAAACACGCTACACTTTACTATTGAAGCCAACAATGATGACCTTTCAAGAGTATTTACGAGCCTTGTGTTTAGAAGCAAAAATTTAGAACTCGCCTCTCTCCTATAAAAAGAAATTTTTGGGTTAAGCTCGACTCATAAAAGAATTATACGCATTTATTAAGTGATCAGAACTTTTGGGACACCATGTAGCTAAGAGTAGGTAAAAATATATCAACGTTTCCATGTAGTTTATGTAAAAACAGATGATCTCGATTGTTCAAACCAAAGTTGGTATGCTATTTCACAGCGTATGAGAACAGAAAGTCATTTAGAAAAGATAAAACTATTAAAAAATAATTCAACATTTTCTATTGAATCTTCAACAGCATAAACACCATCAACCGATGATGTTATTGCAACACCACAATTACGATTAGGTAGTATAAAAAGACCGATAATATTAGATTTTCAAGGATAAGTTACTAAAGCTGAAGCAGTATGAGCTTTGACAGCTCCTCAACATATTTAGTGTTTCAATTCATTTGACGAAATTGGTGATGTTTTTCCGTACTATGTTTCCTGATTATAAGATTGTCCAGCAATTTAGTATGCAGTCAAAGAAGATTTCGTATGTCTTATCTCATGATTTTGGTCCATATTTTCATCAAGAACTTATTAAAAGTTTGAAACGTAAGTTTTCATTATGTTTCAAACTTTTAATAAGCTTTTTTTGAATTTTTGCAGCGGAAATCAGTGTCCTATATATTTTCTATATAGTCGAAGAAAATCCTATATGAATGTGGCTTTTCAATTTCTATATGTTCGTATATTTTCACAAAATATCGCTACGAAGTCAGCTTATAGTTCATATTTTCCTTTCATTACATTTTG